GCAAAATATGGGTCAAATTATGCACTTTTACACTGGTGTAAATTCAGTGTAATTTTGTTGACATTGAAGTTACTCAAGTTTCATGCTGAGGTAAATGAAAGCAGAAATTGACCCTGTTTATGTAACTCAACAAGGATCCCACAAAAGAGCCTGCAAAAGACCATAGAGTAACAAAAACACGGATCAGAGGTAATCAATGCTTTTTAGCTCATGGCACCTCTGCAGGATAAATATATAATGAAAGAATTATTTAAAGTAATCCCTTTTTTTTTCAGTAACAGTGACAGATTAATCCTTGAGTACTTTGATCATCAGCACAGCTATACCCAGTAGGAAACAGTTAAGGACATTTAAAGAGTTGATGTACTAATGTAGCATGCCTGAAGAATCCCAGTATGCACTGCACTCACATCATTTCTATGTTGCAATAAAAGATTTGGAATCCAGATGATCCTCAATGATAGACTGAACGTCTTTGAGACAAATGACATCACTATCAGACATTTTAATGATGGAAAAGATATGTAGTTGATTTGAATGTATATGTTTCTTGAGAAAACAGGAATGTATTTGTAACAAAGTAGGTTTGAAATAGTTCTCAGTTGAGAGCTTGAAATCATGTTGTTTCAGTGAATTCCTTTTCAATTATAGGGTACGAACCAAATTCTGCTCTGTGACAGTAATTATAAAGTTGTTTAACTGACTTCTCAATTGCACCAGTATAAACTTGGAGTTACACTGAATTTACACTGTTGTAATGCTGAGTATAGTATTTGTTACTCTAGCTTAATTAATTCCCACCAGTTGCCTAATGGAATTGTTTTCAAGTGTAAAAGTAAAAAGTGAAAGAGCTATGTCCAACAGTAGACATTTTGAATGCAATTATACTGTTCAGGTCATCATCAAAGAAGGACATATTGTTCTGAATATTTAATTGGAAGAAGGACATAAGGAATTAATGTTTCCAAGCTTTGTCTAAAATAGTCATTTTTTTCTTCAAAGAACAGTATGTATCAGCTTACTGGACGCCTAAGAGTTAATATCTGTTGCAAATCCTGAGAAATGTTAAGCCACGTACGTAGAACTCCCACTTATTTCAGTGGGTGCTCAGCATCACTTAGGATTTGGCCTGTCAAGAAGACTTCAGTATTTCAGTAACAAAGTACAGAATTTATTACAATGATCTGATTTGAAACAACTGCTGGTATTTTGTTCAATCACTGACAAAAGCTGAATCTAGCTGAGATTTATAATAACATCTACCTTTATGAATTTTGAACTAAAAAGAGCTTGTGTTGCTAGGCATCAAATTGATGGTGCATGGAAAAATTATTCAGTGAAACTACAATATAAGTCTGCATGTACAATTCAGAATTAAAGTTCCTGGATGAATATGGAAGCCAAAACCCTTAGTAAAACCCATCTCTTTAGATCAGGTTCTGTTCTATCATATTAGAAGATCCTGGGGTTGTCTCCATCTGAATTTCTGTGTTAGGGAAAAATTAAGTTTACTGCTTTTTAGTATGTGTAAGAGAAATTCAAAACTATTTCACATTAGTAATAATCACAACAGACTTTCTTTTAATGGATTTTTATTCTGTGGCAGAGAACAGAATGTTATTTCCTACAGAAAACTAATATTAAATAGATTCTCATGCAGACCCTACTTCATGTACAATTACTGTACTGCTTGTGGTATGAAGAACATCAAACATCTTACAAAATGAGGTCTCTTTCTTGTATGACATACAGATTAAATGTCTATGCTTTTTGGAATACATATCTGTCTTGATGAGTGCAACCCAATATGCAGCTTGTATGATGTATTCACAGAGCTATCATGGATTTGAATATGATTCTCAGACATGGAACAGTTGTACAATTCAACAATAAACATGATTTTTCTTTTAAAAAAAAGTGTTGCAGGCCCACAATTCCCACTGACTAAATAAAGTTGTGGGTATCTGATTTCTGTGTAGGGTTGCCAGGTGTCTGGTATTTTCGTCTCCTGTCCAGTAAAAAAATTCAGAATATACTGGACACCTAAAATCACCGGTATTTTCTCTCTTTTTTTTTTCCTGGCCAGTAGGTGAAAATCCTGGGTGCTTACCGGGTTCCACAGGGAAGCTGCCTGGCCCAGAGCAGGGAGACAAGATGGCAGCCTGTTAGGGCCAAAAAGCTTCAAAAACATTTTGTAAAGGGGCCATGCTGTTTTTTTAAATGTTTGGTTTTTGCTCAACAACTCTCAGGGTCCTTTTTTTTGCTCAGCAACTTTGGTCTCCCCTCTTATTTCCCCCCAGGTTTTTTTTTTTGGGGGGGGGGGAAGGGAGGGTGTTTGGTATTGTTGGTTAAACCATCTGGCAACCCTATTTCTGTGGGACAAAATTAAAAATAATAATTACAAAAGGCTTGCCATTTTTGTAGTGTTTACCTGTTTTACATTTTGCTATCTATGTATTTCTAGTTCTGAAATAAGTCCAAAGAGAGAATTGATTCAATGAAATGAACTAGCTTACTGAAGGGGCTCCTTCCTCCCTCATTTACCATGCTCTGTGCTTAGTCTAGAAAAGTAGGTTGCCTTCTTCACCTTGCTAGAAAACTTGTCCCTTTCCCCCCATATGAGGTTTTTACCACAGTGTTTTGTATAGTCGCATCTCCCCCACACATATAGGATTACCGTATTGACTGTATGTTGGACTGATGCTGGCAACAACGAAGAACTACTGGTTTGTCCAGAATAAGATAGCCTACACCTCCTGAGTGGGAAAGGACACTGTGAGCTCCTCACCTCTGTGCTTCTATCCCCCACCCTCACTGATTTCCATTCTTTTTCTGTTACCACTTCAAGATCTCAGTAATGATCTTTAAATTGATCAATTATCATATCTAGCTACATCAGTGACTGCATTTGCACACATGACTCATTAATGTATTTACATTCCTTTGGGACAATACAGCTATCACAGTGCAGGACAAGAGGCATGAGAGATGGATGGAAATAT